ATGAGAAGCCGACGAAGTAAATGATGGTACCGTATTATTCTGCACAAACCACTGTTGTTCTTGCTTCATTCAAATTCACTAAGGCGAATAAAAGCATGAAATTAGATGTTCATTTAGATATTTTTTTAATGTGGAGCATTAGACACACTCTGTGAATAATTTCCAAATTTCCATTTACGCATTCAGTGTTATCTATCGTATCTCACTCAACCTCTCACCGCATACTCTACTAATACGACTTTTACACGCATACAGCAGAGGCAATCGGAATTAATCTGAACAAGCCAATTCTGTATGTGTGTGTTAATAGGAATTTGTACAGCCACTTTTCTTTGCCATAACCAACTACATTTTTTTATTCCTTTACGCTCCCAGTGGAACTTAGGGCTTCAAGCTACAGGCTCGAAGTTTGTGTAGCAGCGGTAATTATTTTCAAAGGATGGGGTTGTTAGCTTCATACCAAACCTTGCCTCTTTACCAGTCTTATTACTGGTTTACCGAGGTAAAAGAGTGCCTCGGTGGCCGGGGATCGAACCCCGAACCACCTGCGTGGTCGGCGAGCACTCTACCGCTGTGCCACCGACGCATATAATATGTATGAATTTTTCTTGAAAAACGATTTGTTCCCCTTCTCTTGTAACTATCTTTTGATTTTGTTAGCTTTAAGCATTCTAGCTAATTCTATTAACTTGTTTGTATTTTACGTAATTCTTCTTCTGAGTCATCTTATTCTGCTTAGTCATCATTGCTAGTTTACAAATTTCTTGATTATGTAATAATTTGTTGCTAACGCCTAAGAATCACCTTCTCTTGAATTCCGTAATTAATTCTCACCCCTCCTTTATAACTTGAATATCTCGTTAATAACACCTATCAGTTAGTTGGTGTTTTGATGACCTTTAACCTCTTAATTTCACCATACCACCCCTCAATCCATATACCTAAAACCGATTAACTAAGACAACCGCTTGATTGGTAAAAACTTTGATGTGAAAAACGATTATGTATTAGTGTAGAGCCATCCGATGATGAGGAACTAATTGAATGGGAATATAATATAACAGACAAATGTCTCCCATATGCTTAATTTATATGAATTGACAGCTTCCAAGTTTCCCAAATACATATCATGACAACATATTCTTGAATTGTACATATTGTGGAAATTAAACTCACCTCACTTTATGTAACATAAATACTTTTGATAAGACACTAGTTAGTAACTAGTGCAATGTGTCTTGTGCTTTGCGTGACCTTATACTTTGTTTGACAATAATACGTTTATCAGATATACTCTGCTTCTATCCACCTCCTTCTCGCGTACTTTGTGAAGTATGGTTATCTGAATTGAGACACCTCAGTGGATGATGAATACACATTATTTTGTCTCCCAGTCGAAGAGAGACATATAGTGACATCGTTTATTTATTTATTTTTTTTTATTCCTTTACGTTCCCAGTGGAAAATAGGGCTTCAAGCAACAGGCTTGAAGTTTCAGTAGCAGTGATGTTTATTTTTTTTACAGAATGGGGTTTCTAGCCTCATGTCCAACCTTCCCTCTTTGCCAGTCTTATTACTGGCTTACCGAGGTAAAGGAGTGCGTCCAGTGGCCGGAGATCAAACCCTGGACTACCTGCATGGCTGGCGAGCATTCTACCGCTGTGCCAACGACGCACGACATCGTTTATACAGCTACTGAATTCGGAGTGCCTTCATAAAAGCACTTTAGTAGCGAAATAAAATTGTGGTAATGTGATACAGACAATGCGTGTCAGCGGAATATTATTCTCACATATTCCCACAGTTCAATACTGCATTAACAACAGAATACTATGTATATATTTGAACATTCTATTTCATATCGTTAAGGTAAACAAAATCACACGCTCAGTGATTGGCAAACGTAACACATATCCTAGGCATCTCAACTGATACAGCTGCTTCACAGCCTCGTCGGTTGATTTCCCCTCCCACCCAATTAGCACTCGACGCCTAACCTCAATATTGGTCACCTTATTATACCACTTCACACGGGAGATAGAACTCAGGCACCTATGGGCAAAGACAGCTAGCAAGACTTTTCATGTCTTCCACTTTCAATGGCCAGGTCTCACTCACAGCCATAAAGGAGGATATCACGTCTACGCCAAAGACGGCGTAAACTGGCATATGCGAAATTAGCCCTCTGTATCCGTGCTGAGATTTCCTCAGATATCAACCCGTTGGAGCAGGCTGATGGTACTTCCCAAGTAAGTGAAGCGGCCAACACGCTCCACCAACCACTTCACTGCCTATTTCTAAATTGGGAGTCAGTGTAGTCCAGTCCTGTAAAATCATCTCACATTTGGAGGGAGCGAATCACATGCCAAACCTTAGTAGATTGCAGCTCAGGGTGTTCAGAAGACTCTGCATTTTGTCAGCGTCCTCGCCTAGAAGGACTATATCGTCCGCATATTCTAAGTCGACGAGATTATTCCCTGGTAGCAAGTCAATCCCCCAGTCGCTGAAGTGTGTTAGGGTTAAGTCCATTAGTACATCTATGATAAAGTTGAATATAAATGGGAATAATGGGCATCCTTGACGGACGCCACTAGTCGTCACCACTTTTGATGACAACTCGCCATAAGCCATCACCTGGCTGCATGAGTTCGAGTAGAGTGCCTTAATCAGTGCAATGTATTTTCTCGGCATTCCTTTTACAGCCAAGCATCGTCAGAGAACCTATCGGTCAACAGAATCGAATGCCGCCTTTAGGTCAAGAAATATAATGATTGTTGGACGCCGGTAGGAATGCCTATGTTCTAGAATCTGTCGGAGGATGAAGACATGATCAATACACCCTCTTCATGGTCTAAAACCTGCCTGGTTCTCTCGTGTTCCCCCCCCCCCCCCCGAGCACCACTTAGTCTACGCAGTATTATTGAGCCTAGGACTTTAGATACCATATTAGTCAAGCTAATCCCTTTGTGATTATCACAGGAAGACTTGTCTCCCTTCTTGTATGTCGGGATGATCAGTGACTTACACCAACCCAATGGGACTTCCTCTGATTCCCAGACGCTGCCTAGAACCTCAGTTAATGCAGACAGTAAACTGTCTCCACCGTACTTAAATACCTCTGGAGTCAATAAATCAGGTCCCGCTGCTTTGCCTTGTTTCAGATTAGTGACAGCTTTAGTAACCTCAGTAGGGGATGGAGGACTTGTGTCTATATCCCATTCAGGGAGGTGTTGGATGTTCGGCAGGTTGAGCGTGGCTGTAGGCCAATGAAACTGCTCCTCATAGTGCTCTTTCCAGCGTTTCAGTCGTCTATCCTGGAAGCTAATTATGGTGCCATTTTTCTCCGAGATTGTTTCACTTATCATTTGCCTTTTGCCACCTGTTTCCCTGATAAGCCTAAATAGATATCTGGTGTTACCAATCGCCGATGCCTTTTCCATCTCTTTCGCTTTTGTCGCCCGCCACTGTTCACTGTTGTTACAAGAACTTTTTGTTACTTTCCGTTTGAGTCGCTTCCGCTCCCCATCGTAATAGAAGCTTGCCAGAATCAGTCTTCTTGCGTCAATCAGTTCGGATGAGGCGGTAGAGACCCAATGGCTCTTACTAACTTTTGGTTTTAGGATATTAGCAGCTTTTACAGCTGTGTCTACAGCTTACTGTATGTTGTGCCAGGCTACCCCAGGGGAAGTCCCGCTGTCGACCTCAGAAACACGTTTCGCTATTTCTTCCTTAAAAATAGGGACTCGGACTTTCGATTAATGGAATCCATAAACTAACTGTTATGGATTCCATTGACTGTATGAAGTCGTGTTTTGAATTGGCCGCCACCAACTGTTTCGTAATCTCATCCTGTCAGTTAACATTTCCCGTCGAAGAAGGCGATGGCTAAGGATGCATGCGTTACACATGTCCTAACCACCTCAATACATGTAACTTCACAACCTCATCGATTGATTTTCCCTCCTCACCCAACACTCAACGTTTAACCACAATATTACCCACCTTATTATACCCTATAACGAAGAAGATAAAACGCAGATATCCATGACGAAAGACAGCTAGCCTTAATATTCACCTAGAATGGCCATGTCGAAGAAAAAATGCAAAGCACAATTACGACATCGATGGAATCGACGTCCCTACCACAGTTATCAAACACATGCCACCCATTCAGAGATGTCACCACTGAGCCATTCAAATTACCCGTAGGACAATGACTGATATATTGACTGGTTGCTAATGAGTAACCAGTTTCGTAAGCAATACGCACCGGACACAAATGATATGGGCGAACAACCAATGTATAAATATTTCGATTAGTTAAAGATACGATTAATCAAGCATGTTCACCTAACCCGTGACTTGGTATGTGCAACACGTATCCTAGCCGTCCCAACCGATCTAATCTTATAACTTCACTAACTGACTTATTTTCCTTACCTAGCATTCTACGCCCATACAATAAGACCGATATCGACCTAACCAGGTAAAGCAGAATCGAGACTACGAATCCAAAAAATGGGAATGGATTGTAACTATAGACTTGTAAAGTGAAACACGCTATTCAGAACTATCAGTCCGAGCAAACAAATATGTATATATATGTCCTTACAGCATGCTGCAATGAGGACCAGAGAGAACTAGGAGGCTGTAATTCACGAGTGTCAACTGTTAAGGCATGTACGCAATCCGACGAAACCTGAATGTCAATAATTATTGATACAAAATGCTTACTCGTTGATTAATAGGACCTTACAGATAAAATATTTTATAATGCATAACTAAGGGTATTGACAAGATTGCATAATAAAACTGACATCTCTTAAAACGACATACACACACGAGAAGCTTAACAGCTCGACTTAAGATTTACACGAAAACTATTAGGGGCTGCAGTCAATAAAATCCTCCAAATAACATCAAAATAGCTTTGAAAAAAACTAAAAAAAAGAAACACGGATATCCACTTTTTTGCAAGTGAACCAACACATTAGACTTACATTAAACTGTCTCTCTTCAAATTATCTGTGGGTTCAGTTTCACTTGAATTCAACGTACATAAGTTCAGTGAGTGTAACTCGCGAGTGTTTTTCACATTAGAAGAAGAAGGAGAAGAGGAGGAGGACATTGCGATTTCTAAAAAGCACGTGAATGAACATAAGCTTAGCCTAGAGTTCTTTGATAATTTTTTATACATAATCTGAGTATAAATAATATTACGTACAATCTAAATTCATCTATTTTGCTATGTTGTTATAGTTGATTCAAACTAGATTGGATTACAGATATATTCAGACATGATCGACCATAAGGATGGATTAAAGGGGCGAACCTTATTCTCTTTCTCTCTCTTTTACTCAACAGTATGAGAACACTTGAGACTGTAATACCGCAAGTAGGCTTCTAATTTATAAGATATGATTGCTATAAGGATTAAAATTAATTAGGTCGGCTAATTTTCGAAATTTCTCCTAGTAATCTTGAGTTGAATTATCAAAATTATTCGAACAAGTTCAATAGGTATAAAAAAAAAATAGAGAAACTCATTCACTGAATACCCTATAAGGCTACAATAAAGTGAAGATGAACTTTCTTCCAGCGATTCTTAAACATTATTAATCATTTAGATGGGAAAACATAAGCCAATGCTTAACACCGTAATAACAAAGGTCACAATCTATCTAAGCAACCCACATAACAATTCATCAGTATTATAGAATATCACACACAAGCAGTACTCGATAATTTCGATTTCTAACCAATCTACATTCAGTTACAACTGTCAATATTTGTGAAAAACAAACAAATAAAAGATATTTACATGTTTAAATCACACCTTTAATTCTGAGCACTATTACACTTGTCATGGTCCCCTTGGGTTAATAAATATTGCTATATCAACTTCATAGTAAGTGCCAATGACCACCATTACATAATATCACGATAACATCATGGTTGATAATCGACGATTATCTGAACAGATATTTCACGAGTCAAGCTTTATATATAAGCCAAGCTCGATGTGTGAGGCTGGGTTAAACCCACTCACACACCTGGGCTAGGTTGAACCAGACGAGTGTTTGGAGCCAATGAACTACATCCCCCAGCATCGTGGTTAGTAACCGTATTGTACACAATGCGATATACTTCAACACACCAGAAAATAACGAGTGCTTCAAAACTCACTAAACTACACACTTAAACAGATTGTTTTAGAGAAAGAACAAAAGAAAACCAGATTTTCAAGATGCCTTTATTTAACAATATAACAAGTATTACAAGTTATCTTCAGAGAGTTGTGCCGACATTCCATTGAGAAATTTTAAGAACTTGAGAGAGTATATGTGACAAAACTAGGTGTGTACGAAGAAGAGCGAGAAAATATGTGTAGACTTTGATGAATCCAAACGATAGAGATAGAGAGAGAGAGAGAAAAAATGCAAAAATGAAGATAGATTGATGTTTACTGTGTTTTAGTACTATCGTCGATTGGTGGATTCTTTCGATGACATAGAGACTGGAGTAGGTGTGCGCTTTTTGTCTAAACTGTCAATATAATCTTCTATCAGGGAATTGCGTTCATCCTCGAAAGCATCTAAAGCGATGAACCTTTTATCTTTCTAAAAAATAAAAAGAAGCAAACAATTTTTGTTTTGTTTTAAATCATGGATGTTTCGAAAATAAACAAAACAATATCAAACTTTGAAATTCAAGGCGTGTTACATACCTCAAGAGCTTCCATTATGTCGGCTATATGATTTTCATTTTCCTCAAGCGTTCTCTTAGTTCTGTTATTAACATATAGTTGTAAGTAGTAATATAACAGATAACTTACCGAGCATTGATTATCTTAGTTTCTTTGAGAAGCTCTTTAAAAGCTTCTTTAGCCTGATTTTTTTTCATTTCTACCCATATGCTAAATTCTGATTCTTTTTTCTAAACAAAACACGATAATGCATGATATAGAACCATGAATAAAAATAAAACTTACTCTTTCGCTTGGAATCTTTTCAAAACGAGGATCAGCATTAATGATCTTTTTCGCCTCTTTCCAGGATAAATCAAAAGACATCTAAGAAAAAAGGAAGGTTCAGACAGGATGAATCGGTCAACTTACTCCTTCAGTTTCACTCAACAAACGGTGAAATATCTCCCGAGACTTTTTTGATAAATTATTGATGTGCTCCTGGAACATTTCTTCTCGTTCTGACCGTTCAAACACTTCACTAACACCTTCCCATCTAGGATCTTTACGAAGTATTTTCTTGGCTTCTTTCCATGTAAGACTAGGATCACGTATCAAATCCTGTAGCATTGTATGGAAATTTGTCTCCTGTTCATTGCGTAAATGCTGTTCCCGTTCCTTGTCTCTTTCTCTTAACGAAGAGGATAACGCTTCTTTCACTTCCTTCTCACGTTCTCTTATGGAGGCTTCTTGACGTTCTTTCTTCTCTCGCTCTTTTCGTGTATAACTGTCTTCTCGAACAGCAGGAGTCTAGACAAAGTAACGTAGACGGATGATGATGGTGACAAGACTAAGAAACTTTCAACAGGAAATTTTATTATGTAGAACACAAAAACTGGCAGTAATAACAATAATTTGCTTTATTCCAAAATAGTGCTCATGATACAGCGTAGAATTTTCAGCACGGTACATGATAAGCACTTAGAGATGCACCACGCGAAACCTCGTAGTTTGTGCGAGGGATGAGATATTACCTGGATACTCAGGCCGAAGTAGGTGGTTGCCTTAAGATGCCACCTACCTAGCCTTCGTCTCTAATTCTGATCCACAAAACAGTGAAGCAGCAGCAGAAGCTACGTCGGTATGGTTTCCAACTATCACAACGGGCTCATACATCATTCGATAGTATCGGAACATGGAGCCCATATACACTACCATGGGTTTAGAATCTGGGTTTTTTAACTTTCGAAGGTAGACCAACATGTCGCTCAGTCCCATAGCATCCGCTCTTACACTATTGTGAAGAACACTGCCACCGAGTGAAGGCAGTGATTAAGATTTACTTGATGGAGGCGGCTGCGAACGCGTGTTCACAGGAGAGGGATTCGAGGGGAAGACTGAAGTCTACCCACTCTACGGCCGTATCAATAGTTCCGTAGTCCTCTTGTCTTTGGATAGTGTCATACACAATGATTAAGTGGCAGAAGCATTTGTTGAAAATGCTACAGCAGTAAGGACACAAAGCGAAGCACTAGTAATCGTTAGAAGTACAGCGCATCATTCATGATTACCCCCCATCCAACAACATGGTGAAGTTTGGGATAAATTCGAGAAAACTTTTTTATACTCTGAGGACTTCAATATTGAAAGCTTTTAAATACCACTGATTGAAAATATGGCATAACTGAAAACCATGTCAAAGGACATACTCAATAGCTCAAAATAATTTTTATTAGGACATTTCGAAAATAGGAAATTTAACAGGTAGCTACTTTATCAAAGGACTTACTTCGTCAAGCTTACGAATAAACTCTCTGAACAAATCCTCTCTTTTTGAGGAGGAATCTACAGCTTTATATCGAGGATCGGAATCCACTTTGCGCTTTACATCTGTCCAATGAGTATATCGAGTTATACCTTTCTGTTCTTTCAACATATTGAAGAATTCCAGTTTGACCTACATACGAAAAAATGGTCATGTTAGAAAGTATATAACACTAACACAAGAAGTGAACACAGCTTTTACAACATCATGTTTCTCTTTTCTGTAATTATTGTCTTCCACGAAACAAACCTGTATAATAACGCTTAAAAAGCCAATATATCTAACCAAAGAAGGCTCACACAACGAAGACAAACAAAGTGAAGTGAGCATGTATCATCCTAGGGAAGTTAACGAACATAAAATACTCTCAGCGTAGGTAAAACTGGATGCTGAGACTTTTTTCAAAATTTCAGAATATTTGACTACTAGAGAAGAAACTCGACGCATTCTTTTAGGGGTTACGCAAAAGGTAGTACGAAAGATAAGTCAGAATATTGTGATGTACAAGAGAATAGAGTCGTTTAGACGAAAAATAGGGTGCGCGAGTAAACTTACATGTTTGAAGAATTGTAATTACCTTTAATGCAAATTTTAAGCACTATGGTTAACAACTATTCCCATGTATCTGTAGCATATGTATGTTTGCAATTGAATAATGGTTAACAAGATTCTCAACAGCTCCGTTTCTTTCCACTTTATTCAAGTAAAGTGATAGGAGAGTCTTTCATTCACTAGGAATCAACTTCATCAGGATATAGATGTATCAAATAACAACATATTGTTGACACACTTCTGAGAGCTGTATAACTCTGTGACATACATGAATACTTAGAAGGGTAATCGTTACCAGCTCTTCGTTCACATTAAACAAAAACAGTTTACTAAATATCTTTGTGTACGGTACGACTACAGAACGTTCTACAGTCGGATGTATGTAAATAAAACGGAATGCCGTCAAATTAGTTTAAACAAACAGTTAGAAATTAAATATCCAATAAGATTTCATCTTTATCCTGTCAGCATTTTGTGAGTAGATCAAGTTACTGAGATTCACGACTGTTAATGTCGACACTGAAATCATTTATTTGTCCAATCCATTCATACTTTTGAAAACGACTGGCACTAAGACAAAGACTTATCGATCGATATTCATCATCGTCCCATGGACTATGTATAAATAATATCTAATCACGACGAAATTATTTTTCGACTGTTTCTTTCACTCAAGTTGTGAATATATATTGTCGTTTTAAATTTTACAACTAAGCATGCATGCACGTACAGTCGAAAATACATTTACACAAGTAGGCGGCTTAATAAAGTAATTCTTACAATGGGTCCGCTAAAAACTAAGACATAACAAACCTGAGAGAATTGAAATCAGAAGTGATACTGATTTGTTAGGAACCCATCTCTCTGTGTGTGTCTCATCAATGTAGCTTTCCGATTCCTCTTGAAAGCGAATTTCATAGATTTATTGAACCTAATAAGTACAGATTGTGGTTATTAAATAATGATCCAAAATATACAACCCAAATTAAATAATTTATTAAATAACAACTAATGGAGATGGATGCCGATTTAACCAATTTATGCAACAACTCGTCCTATGAACAACTTTGATAGTCATACTGTTTATTTTACTAACTTGCTTTTAAACTCTAATTATGAAAGTCGAATTCCGCCTCAGTTCATTTGAACGTAAGTAGTAAGCGCACAAAAAAGGTGAATATAAGCACGCGCATTCACGTTATTTGGAAACGCATATCACTACTTTTCGCAACAAAAAAATGTATCTCGATACATTCACAACACTCACACAGCTCAATCACGGAAAAACGAAAAATGTCATACTTCATATGATCGGACATCTCAGGTCCGGCGGACACCCGTTTTTTTTAGCTGTTATAACGAAAACTCAAAAAAATTGTTTTGGTTCATGTTACATATTACTTACAATTTTTAGCTGATGTTAGGAAACAGTTAAGCGTACGTCTTCCATCAACTTTTGCAACTGTATACCTGAAAACTTCAAGTCGATTTACTTCTCTCTATTTATCTCCATGCTGTTGATATAGAGCCAACGCGATAGTCCAAGTGAGTTACTACCCAATTTTTATAAACACTTTAAGCCCAAAATCCTGAAATTTTTATGACATTAGAGTGATCATACATCCTGGTAAGTCCAGGGATCATAAGCATAATAAGAAGAAATGAAAATTTACTTCCAATAGCATCTTGAAGCATCAAGAGCATATTTTGACTCAGTTTCGGAAAAGTTAGTACACACATTATTGAAACTCACTAAGCCTATGTGATAACATGATCAGTCATGCAGCAACTATGTGTGGAAATATTAAAGTAGACATTGAGGTGCAAGAACAACTTTGTATGAAGACATGTTGCACACACACAAAAAGATGTCGTAAATGAAGAAATTTCTTGGAAACAAAACGTGGTTGACTGTCGGAAAACAGCTAGTTTTTTTTCAAGAAGTTATCTAATTCCAACCGGCTTTCACGAAATGTATATATGTATATATGTTGAGCGACTTAGACTTTTGAAAGATGAAGTTACGAAACAAACAGTTGTGATTTACTTTGAAATTGTATCCTCAACCTGAAACTAGTTATTTCTGTTAAAACCATGGTGAGTACAGTTTAATTGAAACAAAACAACGCTAGAATCACTCAAATTCAAAAAAAAAACTAAATAATTACTTCGCTCTTACCAGTAGCTTTTTTAAACTATTTAGTTATGTGGTAGTAATTAAGCTTAACAACAGAGCAGCAGTCTCTAATAAACTTCGAGTTCATTCAAGAAACGAACTGTACACTTGACAATTCTTAACAAAACTGGCAATGTAATAATTTTGTTTTTCAAATACTAATCACAGTATTGAAATTTGGCGATAGGCATAATTTAGCGAGACCGGTTGTTTTTTAGAGTGCTAGCACGCATATCAATTTTTTTCAGCCACTTATGCAATAGGTATACATGCTCAAAACATGAGAAGTCATTCATTGTGAACTTTCTTCGAGGTAAACTACAGCTGCACTCTGAGGTAAACACTTAAATCTCACTTCTATCCTGACAGTCACCTTGAAGGTGTTATTTTCTTAGTAACCGTTGATTTAAGGTGAGGACTAGGACTCCAAATATCAACAATATTTTAGTACATTACAAGTGAGAAGCTTCAAGAAGTTTCTGGAATCCCACAGACATTAACTTCAACAGCTTATCGAAGATACTGATGATGGATTAGTACCACATTCAAGTTTAGCAATACATTTTATTGAATATGATATATGGTAAGTACATGAAGGTACAACTGACAGCCACACCACACAATCCACCGTCCTGATAGATCCTTTAAACGCCTCTATATTGGTTTTTATATTTCTGTGTGGCATCAGATGTAGACTACTAATAAAGTAACGGTCAAAAATCTCTCTGAACTATCGCCAATAAGACATTAAGCATGCTGTGAGAGTGATGAACGAATGACGTCAGCATTTCTATGATGGAGTCACGTCCATTCATACGAATATTATCAACCACTCAAACAGTTATACATAAAAAAGGTCAAATCAACGTTACTGATTAATCCCAACCACGCATCTTTAGAAACTCATATGCCGTACATTATCCGGAGTTGCGAAGGTATCCCCAGTTACAACTTTGGGGAACTAACAAGCACTTCGATTAATTTTTCCATTTACTGAAAGGATGTTAATCCTCTGTGCTAACTGATTGCTTCAGATTAAAGTTTGAACGATAATGGTAAAAAAAATAAATTATAAAATAGATAAAAGACTCTTCGATTAAAAATGGTTATTTATATGCAAAACAACTGGGTATCCCATCGGCTTAGCATTATTGAACAAGTATTCAATCGAGTTGGTCAATAAAATCTTATGTCTAAACAGTGAACACAGGTAAGTTGTTTTTTCTTAATTTGACTCTATGAAACCTGCTTTATATTTAACATTTCCAGAGCGATTAAGTTTCTTACTAGTTAATAAATATATGCACAGGTATACACACAAATCAGAATAATTTTTAACATACCTATTGATGGATAGGATACACGACTGCAATTAGTATTGATTTGGAAAACCACTTTAAATTTCAGAGCATAGTAACCAATTACTAGGGTTTTCACGAAGTGTTTCCTTTTTATAGTTATAATTTGATAAACGCCTTTATCTGGGTTTGTCGATGACTAGTTCAGTGACAAATAAACTAAATATTCGAGACATGTGCAGTCGGTGCGTCATTCAATGAAACAAAGTTTAATGTAAAAACCATAGTAAAAAGAAAAATATATTATATCCGGAGCAATAAAAAGGAATGAATTCCTGACCTAATGAAAATCAGTTAGTTGTCTCTAAGGTAATGGTGATATGAATAATCCCAACGACAGCATACACTTTGAGTACATGGAAAAACTCTTTCATCTTGCTATTACCAGTTTGTCTGTCTAGTGAAGCAGGTGACTGCTTGTTTCAGCACAACCCGTGTTAGCATTCGCAAACCTAAGATATCCCAATGTAGACTGAATGGTAACTTGATAAAAGCTTCCTAGCCCAACAAACTGCATAGCTACCTATGAGATGTTTCAATAGTAGCATTTGCATTACCAAACGTGAACCAGAACTGGGTAATTTAGGAAGATATAAATCAGAAGCACTTTTTGATCCCAAGTCATCGTATTCAGCTTATTTTCCGTGTGTTTTGGACTGAATCATTCATTATTCGTGTTTCTGAACAAAGTAACGAATAAGCAAGAGGCTTATTATAAGGTGATGAATGGATTCTTAAACATGAATAAATAATTTAGGAAAAATATCTGCATATCAAAAAAAATTGTGAGGATAAAAACACAATGACAACGTAAAATGCGATGGATTACTTTCTACGAATTCCGTTTCCTATGTGATAAAGACATTGATAATATCTCACTGTAAGGAAGTGATAAGCAACCTTCGAACTAATCAAGAACCATACAAATTTTCACATCAGTGCATCTTCAAAGAAAATTGGCATTGAACAAGAAAATTAGTGCTCATACCTGAAAAAGGACTCATTTCGAAAGTATACATCATTAAATCTTATAGCACTACTCTGATAGAGAAGAGTACAGAAGAATGTTTGATGCAATGAAGTAATCTTCAAAAGTGTCTTATTATTGCACCTTTGTTATGATAACAATGCATTACTTATTGTTACAAAATTTATGAAACATTCTTTCACAGAAATTTAGCAGTTACATACTGCAAAAAGCAGACTAAGACGTTTGTAGTGCCAAACTGTGAGGCCTCCCTAAAACCTGAAAATAAGTCAATGGGATATTTAAAGAGGCCCACACACAAGCACTAGTTCAATTTAAAATCCAATATACAGAAAAGAAAATCAATAATGAGAAGTCCCTTGAAGTCTAGCGATCCCAAACAAATTTAAAGACTACTGTTGACACTTACAAGTGGTAGAAAGTTTACACACTGCCTGTCAAGTGAATTAGTCGCACAGTCTAGTATTCCATGAAACTGACAGTAAACATTAGTAAGTTCTGGTAATTTACTTTCTGATACCAGAAAACCACACCCTTACTATTTCTCCAAACTATAAGTCAAAAACTGGCATTTCAGTGTTCAATCTCTGAATTCAGGAATGGTTAAAATCTGAATACCTAAGAGAAATACAGACCACTAATACTTTCGAGTCGTGAGACACTCAGGAATATCCTGAACTTGTTCAGTCTATTGGATGTTTTTTTATTAATGCTTAATGTAAGTTAGCACGCACATCATCATACAATGAACATACTTTCTCTTTTTCACGATGCTTGTCCTCCTTTTCCCGTTTGCGTAATTCGGCCAGGTAATCTTGAAACATAGCTTCACGATCACGAGATTTTTCAATTCCCTTAAAGCGGTCATCCTTGGAATACTTGGCAGCGAAATCACTATATGAAGACCTAAATAAAATAGCAATGATGTACATGAGACACGTTTAATTTCTTATTCTATTTTTGCATGTGTAGTATATGTCCCGAACAGAACACAAACAACTTTAATTGTACGATCACCTTCGTGGTCATCAATTCATCCTGTCTAATATTAAGTACTGTACGTGCATATGTTATGCCCTGCAGTTATGTAAAGACACCATTAGAAGCGCTCAAAAATGTAAACTACTCAATAAATCTTCAGCTGTTTGCAGGAACTGTTCGGCTACATTTCTTTGGTAACGAATGGTTTCAAAATTGGGTTAGTTAGTTGTGTAACTAGGACCATTTATAGCCGAATAGATTGGAACAATTTTTTCACCACCATGTTAGTCGTAACTCAATTACTCCAAACAAGTCTCCTCATGTAGCAGGCTATATGCCACACTTTTTGTATGAATTCTTAAGTTACTATTGGTAATCCATGAGACTTGAATCTGGGACTCTTGTTGAGTATATAAAACAATAAACGACATGTCAATCATAGATTACTGGATCAATATATGTTAGCCCATGGTTGTGAGACACATGCGTGACACCTACTCAATACGGATTATAACGTACAAACCTTAGTAGTCAACGTAAAAACGTATGAGCACTTAAAAAATGTTCCTCAAACTACGCCTGTAGAAGTATATTAACGAAACAGGATCTGGATGGAGATGTACTTCACAAATGTCGAAGAAACAAAACTAGCAGTATAACAACACCGAAACTGTTCACCAGACGATGAAGGAAACTGAGATTTATAGTCTACTGATGATAAATAATGCGTCATGACTAGTGATTATAAAAATGTGACTAATAGTGTTTGGCACTAACTGATGCAGAAAACTTCAGATAGCTTAAATGGATACGACGAACTTTAAACGCTACCATTGACACTTCTATAAAAACTCACTTTGAGTTCAATCCAGCCTCATCCATTAGTTCTATGAACTTTTCTTTTTTCTCTTTAAGTTTACTTTTCTTCTCACGCCGTTCCTCCTCAGCACGCTCCCTCACGTAGGCTTCGAATGTTTGTTTTCTTTCTTTACTCGCCAGTAGTAGATAACGCGGATCGAACACAATCTTATGTAGTTCCTTCTCCCAGGTAGAAAACGCTGAAACCTTTAGATAAAAGTAAACGACATGATCAGATATGAGGGCATTGAATCGTCGAAGATATCACAGCGGAAACTTCATTGTTACCCAACATACCTGCATCTCAACTAACATTTCCCTGAACCTTCGCACACGAACTTCCAATGGCTGTACAGCTCGTTCTCGGGCGGCTCTCTCTTCAGCTTCCTTCGCAGCTTCCATTCCTACCGGGATCTTATCCAACGTGCTGCCAGACTTATCTGCATCATTCTCCTCCACTGGTTCAGCCGCAGGTACATCCGCTTCAGCTGCAACACCATTAACATCGTCATTTTCGCTACAAGAAGAAATAATGTTTTTTTAACTCGGCACCGAAATTAAATTCCTAATTACAATTAAAACGTCCTAGAGCTATTAATCCGCTAACTAATAATTACTAATGCCACCTGCTACTTATACACTAACTGGATGCTATGAATCAAGTGGTGCATGGATAACCAACGCTACAAATAGCCGTCGAGTAGCAACGCAAATGTTGCTGGCCCTATGAAACCCGCCCATTGGCATATACCATTTTTCTCAAAACCCAATGTTTGTTGAAAATATAATCTTATTGTTTAAAATTAACAAATACAAACAAAGCTTACAGACGTGCTTTTTTGGGGGCAGAACTCCCATCAGCCGCTTCAGGACCATCATCATTCGCCGTGTTTGGTTTTGGTGAACTTGTCTGACCGGAGGAAGGGGCATTTGGTTGTTTTTCTAGTAGTCTATCGACGTCTGCACGACCTTTAAGCTCTTCAGGTTTCTCCCAAACAGAGAGACGCTGACTAGGATTGAAGAAAAAGGCACGACCGTCTCCTGTCCATACAACACACCATGGAGTCCCGTGGACCGCTGTGCTTGATACAGGTCTACTACTATCTTTCGACGCTTTCGCGGATTCAGTTTTTGACTCCTGTTCATTTGACTCATTGACGCCATTCTTATCTGCCTCAGACTTTGAACTCTCTACCTTAGAGCTGTCAGTCGACTCCGCTGTTGCCGATTTTTTATTTTCAGCAACCTGAAAGAGAAAAAAGCGGTCAGTATGTGTTCAAGTTGAGTCAGCGCGAAGAAAACAATCAGACTTTTGTAAACTTCTTAAGAGTTTATACCCACTACACAATCAAGTTTTCATTAAATTCACATCTACACGTACCAGCCAGTGACACAATGGGAATAAAACTGGTTACTGTGTAACCGGTGACTTACGGGTACTGTTGTGTTTGTCGGAGTTGTATTTTCTTTGACTACTGGAGTAGGAGCCGGCTGTTCCGGAGCCTTCTGACTGGAGTTTGGATCTGATTTGTCTGCAAAATAACGTTAATAATAAGAAGCTTCACTTACTTTCCCAGTCCACTAACACCTTTGGCTTCTCCCATGTAGTCTCACCAGTCTTTATATTGTGATAATATGCCTTTCCATCCTGATTATGATATTCTGTCCATACTGCAACCTCCGGCGGCTTAGCGGGTGTAACTGGTGTTGAAATAGGCGTATTAGCGCTCGTAGACACAGCCGTTGTAGTTACTGGGAATGTAGATGCAGGCTTCACTGTGCCTTCCACCTCACCTTGACGAACAACGGTGACACCTTCAGGTTTGTCCCAGCGCGTCTCACGGGTACGCATGTTGTAATAATATGACTTGCCTTCAGCCGTAAGGTTTTCAACCCATATGTCATCCACAACTCTCGGCTGCATCATGGTTGGTGGGAAAGCGTTGACTGGCATTACGGGTGGCATAAACGGCATTGGAGGGCGAAAATGTGACATAGGATGCGGCATTGGAGGCATGCCTGGAAGTGGTGGAGGACCCATCATCGGCATAGGTGGCATAGCTGGACATGGCAATGTACCAGGGGGCATTCCAGGCCCTGGAATTGTTTGCATAACCATCGGTCGAGGCGGGGCTGCTGGCATTGCACCAAAACAAGGTGGTGGGATACCGAAATGTGGAGCTATAAGGGAAAAAAACCAATTAAGTGTGCTGACTGCGTAAAAACATTTGCTGCTAATGTCTGTCTCGCAATAGTACTATAAGATAAAGGTATGCTATGTAACTTACCATCAGCACCCGACGGGATTGGAGCTGGATAAGGAAACGGTGGAGGTGCATTTGAAACAGGTGGCTGGACTGCCGGTGGAACTGTCACTGGAGCAGCAGGAGTTTGGGTAGCTGGTGACTGAGCCGTGGTCTGAGGACAAACAGGAGCAGGAGCTGCAACCGGTGGTGCGACAGGAACAGGAGCACCGGCTAGTGGAGGCATATTGTTCGGTACACCCTGTGGAGTAGTCGTTGGAGGACAGTTAGGGCCTCCAGGAAACTGTGAAGATCCATTGAACGAACCAGTGCTTTGAGGTCCCTGTCCAGGAGGACCGAAAGGAGCAGGAGGTACGGGATAAGGACCAGGTGCCCCATAAGGCCTGACAGGTGGTGCAAATTGGACGCCTGTTGGTGGCCCTGCGTTAGAATCACAAGATGACGAGTTCATCTGAGACACAGGTGGACCATTGTATTGAGGGCCGTTGTACTGAGAGCCAGGTGGTCCATTGAACGGTGGACCACTGAAGGGCGGCGCGTTTTGCGACCCTGAGTACTGAGGACCAGGAGGCCCACCGAACGGAGACTGAGGTCCTCCATAATGAGGCCCCTGATTGTTATTAAATGGTGGGGCATTTCCACTATAGTTCTGAGGCCCTGATGAGGCTGATCCAGGGGGCGGAACTGCCGAAGGTTGCTGGTGATCAGGAGGCATTGACTTGTTGTTGGACATGAATTGTGGTGGAGGACCACGCATGCGCATATGCTGCATGTTCGAAAAATTATTGGGATGCATTTGCATATCTCCTCCATGACCTGAATAGTTCATATCGTTTGGTGGGTGAGAATCATCCATTTGCTCATCTATCTGATCATCATTCATACCTTGATAACGTCCTGGATACTGAGGACTAAATCTAGGTGGATATCCTCTTTGCATACCCATCGGAGGTGGGCCGTAACCATCATAAGCTGGACCACGATGGTGACCCATTCCTGGCCGCATAAAATTTCCTCTAAAAGGGAAATCAGTAAAGAACGAAATACCCACCGACCACCATGCATTTGCATTCGAGGATGCCCACGGTAACCACCCTGAAATCTTGGGCGGAACTGAGGTCTGAAAGTTCAAACACGAAAGTCAGTAATGTTGTTACATTAAAAACCAAATTTCTCAACTCTAAACTTATCAAACTTTACCTCATCATTCTCATCTGACGGGGTCCACCACCTTGGTAACGGTCATCATGTTTATGCACAGGTGAGTCATCCTGGTAACGGTCATCAGGGTACCGGCCATCATCCTGATAACGCCCATCATCTGAAAAAGCGTTATCTGATTGAAATGGAGTGTCTTCATCAGGGAAACCCTCGTCCCTATCATGATCATCGTCAAAATCTGCATGTTCACCCTCCATCGAGGACATATTTGCTGACAGTGCACACGGTGATTAAAACAGACTTGATAGTCACACGGTCATTCAACATTCAATTTTCTTTAATTGTACAATGTGATCACCAGTTTTTTTTTGTGGCACCTTAATATTGATAATACAATAAACATTAGTTTTCTTAGTACTTTATTTCATAAAAGGCTTGACAGAGTGATTTAATTTGGTCAAAGCTTATAAAGTCTGACTGCTTTATTGGTCATCTTTTGCCGAGAGCTTTCGAATGTGTAATAGTACGAAATCTACGTCCATTAACATGTTAATACCTGCAGTACTAGATTCTCGCACTGAACTTGGTATTTGAATATCACAAAGAGTATGTAGATGGTCAAGTCTGTCAAACGTGTAAGCGCCGTTAAGAGACGGAGATCTAATACTCGCCGATCATCTTAGGGCCTCACTTCCGTAGATGTTCTACACTTTTGACACCAGATACACCAAAATTTATGGTATCTGATATCATGGAGGGTCTGGTAGATAGTGCGTCTTGTGGCAAAAATGATTTACTGACACCTCAGAAATCAACAGCGGAAATACAAAGCAAGTTTGATAGCATAACACCCCTCACGCAACTGTATAACCCATCACAAAACATTTGTATAGGACCACTTATCAAATCTGAGCGCATAATTGACTACTTGTCTGAGGAAGCTGCTAAAAGGATTATGTTTTCACATAACGTCTTGGCGTATAACATTCCATACAGAGAGCCTCTGGCCAAACTTAAAACTTCATGCCTAAAGGTTTGTAATTTGTCGTTAACAGAATGTTTTGGGTCTTCGTAAGAAATCTGAAAATCACTCATGTCGGGTGCTTTTCTAGTTTTCGGTCTATAGGTGAATCTAGGAATTTTCCGAAATCTGGTAAGATAATAGGCTCTTCAACACCCTACACTAACATTATGGTTGCACATAATTTAGCACCATGTCAAAGACGATGCCACCCAGGAACACTGAATGCTGATAGCAACTATAGATGATGCTTCTTGCAGTATTCCGTCTAGCAATATACCTGATGACCGCGTACATCGGACATTTCCTCAGGCACAGACAAATATTAGCCAAGCATTATATAAAGACACTGCTGCTGACAATTAAATGGTAGACATAGATGAATCAACAGAACACAGTGTTAAAATATATTTTTTGTACACTGACACAAACGTCAAGAGCCAGGAAACATCAAAACCCATCCCACCTATGTTCACCCATCTCCTTTTAAGTCAGTCACTCCTCAGTCTGAGAACTCCTTCCACTGTGAAGTACCAGTCCAATGTGGCTACCCAAGTTAGCAAGTTCTCTGGGCGCTATGACAAACGTCCCATTTCCATTAAGAAAACCAAAATGCCGGAGCTGTCTAAGCCACAGAAACCCTGTTAGCCATCGCCAACCATTTAAACATAAGAAAGGGGAAAAGGAAGTAAATGTATTAAAATCCAAACACGGAGTACGAAAGCCCATTGATATGGTAGTGACTCAAGCACCTCTAAGCCATCTCACTAAGAGAAAGCTAATTATGATGGCCCAAGCTGCCAGAGGTAGGCCTAGTTAACCAATTGTATCCAATCACTAATTCTACACAAACGACACAACGAGGTATTCGATATTATTCTGCTCATCCACTACGCAAACCCATTGTCAGCCATTCCCCTTAGAATGTTCTACCAACTGAAAGTCATAGAAAATCCTCTGGATATCGGCTACAGACCACATTCGGTAAGCCAAATAAGCCCACAGAACCCATTCACACATCTTACGTATTTAGTGGGGAGCATATGCTAATGTCTGCACAAAACTTGCTATGGTCTGACAACTACCTAAAACAGATACCAACGCTTCATTCCTATTCTGGCAACAAATTACCGAATACTCATATCGACTATACCTTTCACAATAACACTGCTCTTACCAACCGCTTCTAGCAGGATTTTCACCAGCATCAGTTAACAGAAACACCTGGCATCATGCATGTAGCACGCATGATCAATTTCTTGACGGCATAGTGGACAGTCTACAGCTAGGGCAAGGCATATTCCCCGAGAGATAGCTCACACAGTGTCGGCACCAAAAAGGGATACTAATATCTATAAAATACTAATATCCGATCATCATACAGGTGTCTCTCATTGCATACCCTGTCCAAACGAGAGACCACCCCTGACTACCACCTCAAAAACCTGTCTGAAGTCTTCCCGTGATCCAAAAATAGTGATTAAAACATGTATACAGAGGACACTCACGGATTACTTTATCAAGATGTTGTCTGCTCACTGAAACCACGTAACCAGTGTTTGTCTATTATCCTAGTAAATAGGAGATCAGTTCTAAGCAAGTGATATCTCCAATGATAGCCTAAGGATTGATAAATACAACCTTTTCCGAGGGGACAGACAGAGAGGTCGTGGGGGTGGAACACTAATTTACTGTGAACAATCCTTATATGCAACCCAGTTCAGTAACCCAATTCTGTCACAACTCAATGACTCAATCTGGGTCGGAATAAAAATTGTCAGAAGTAAACCTATACTTATGGGTTGTGTGTACCGACCCACTTTCTCCAGCAGGGAGTATGATAATATGCTCAGCAAAATTTTTAAATTTACAACCAATTTTCCCTTCACTTATAAAATAATTGGGGGTGATTTCAACATGCCAGACATATCGTGGCCTTCACTCCGAGGACCTCAAAGGTATGATGATCTCCTGAATTCCATCGTCACATGAAGGTAGATACAACACATAGATTCACCCACTAGATCCACAAATATCCAAGACCTCAGTTTCACGAACAACATAACACTATCTACAGTACATTTGGGACATGAATTTCCAGGTAGTGACCATAAAATAGTAGTGTGTTCATTTAACACCTTTCCTGAAACAAAAAGGAGAGATGAAGCTGACCAAACACCTATAAGATTGTACACAATTTTATCAGCACCCAATTAGATTCTCTGAGTGGGACTCGTACTTTTCGAACCAGTCCTCAGAGGAAATAATTAACAAATTTTAACCTAATAGTAACTCGATTCATGACGTCATTTCACCTGAGAAGATTTTATTCCGAAATTGTTAAGAAGTCTACGAAAGCACTCAATAAAATACGACAGATATCATGACTTATCATCATTAATTGCTATTAGGTCCTTTCTCGCTATAATTCAAGAGTTAACAAATATAAGCCTCAGAAACAAAGAAATGCGAGCCATCCAGCCACCACATTACCCAGGAGAAATAGCCAAACTTTTTTTAAAGTAGGTTAACAGACTCCAAAACAGCCTATCCAAAAATAATATACTTAGACGGAATTGCTTGCGAGAATACCGAGGTGATATGTGAACTGTTTGGCAAGCACTTTGCCAGACTATGCACCTTGGAGAACGACGACGTGGTGAATTTCCCACGTTAAACAGGCCAATGTCTAAGTGACATACTTTTCATCACACAAGAGATCGATAAAGCTATCTCAAATCTTAAGGTTAGCAACACTCTTGGTCCAGACGGTATATCTTCCATTTTGCTGAAAAACGGTGGTAGTGACATGAATTTACTCCTACTGAAGTTGTACTCAATTTCACTACACTATGGATATACCATTCCTGCTGGAAGAAGTCTTACATTGTACACATCCATAAATACGGGCCTACAGCTTACATCAACAACTACCGCCCCATCAACATCACGTCTGCAGTTTCAAATGCAATGGAAAAGATAGTAAAGACTCAGATCGTTCGGTACTTGCTGTCAAATGACCCACTATCCCCATACCAATATGGTTTCTTAAGTAGGTGGTCATGCATTACCTGACACCAAGATTACTTTGACTACATCACACAGTGCAAAGATAATGGGGACTGAATAACAACATTATTTTCTATTGTTGGCAAAGCCTTTGATACGTGTGTGCATGCATAAAGGTGATACTGCTAAGAATGTCCTCAGGTATCGATGTATTCTGTAACCTAATGAGAAACACTTGTTATGAAAGCTATTAATGTGCAGCATACTGTATGACTGGGGCCAGCTCAAAGCAATGCAAAGAAGATCTCAGAGCTTAACAATCAAAGAGCAGGCAGGGTGGCGCATGCTGATCAGCAGATATGGTAGTGGTCACAAATGTGAATCGCTGCCATCTGTAAGATAGAAACATGCGTTTCTTGACAGTGCGAGAACTATTTATTAGTCTGGATCCTAAGCAAAAGACGAAAACATAAGGGTGGTACAGATCTAAACAAAAAAAAAGTGCTTTTAATCATACGATCTACAAGCCTGCTAAGCGTCTCCTCAAGATGCTAGTTCGTGTTCCTCACAGAAATTCGTGGAACAAGATACACTCCAGCTTGTCCTGCGGGTTCTAATCTTCCAGATCTTTAAATTCACTTCTGACTGAAATGTCACTTATCTACCTCACGATGATCTTATCTACCCAATATTATTCTCTATTTTATCTTAGCTACCTAGGCCTTTAACGAAACTGAAACTTACTCTTTTATTCGTATTCGTCGAGCCTTCAATTCTGGTTGCTCCGATGGAACCAAAACAACAACACCAATGTTTGAACAAAGCTATATTTTCATCGAGAACGTCACAATTTCCATGGTAAGGCCGGTATGGTTAGCGTTAAACATTGCAAATGTATACTACCATTCCAAGGACAGTGTAGCTCCTTCTTGTATGTATCTTGTAAATGTACTTCCAATGATGTATTATCATAATTGTATTTTATACCATTTTGCAGTTTCCCAGGACGTTCTTCTCTTCCTGAAGTCACTTTTAATCACGTGGTGGCATAGCACTCACCCAAATATACGCTGTTCACTGGTCGACCATAGCTATCAGCAGGAAACGGAACGAAGTTTGGGTTGTCGCTCAACTTCGATGGTGACCTTAGTGAGTGGTTTAGAATTTAACATCTATACGAACCTGTTCTGGCTGCTTGCACAATGATCGAGCAGTTTAAACTTTTGAAAAGTATTAATTTATGATACTTCAGGATTGTAATTTGTAACATAACTGATCGTGCCGGTAAAAATGACATGCATTTCTTG